CTTATTCTAGGTAATAGGCACACAGCAGTGTGAGGTGAGGGAGCAACCTGCAAGAAAGGGAAGGATAAGCCAGGTCATGTTGGTTCTTAAAAACAAACTCTGGGACTTTGTAGATCTGTTTTCCCTCTGAGGACAATTTTTTGGGGGAAAAATGATGGAGGTTTTCACTTTTTGCTTGACAACTGTAGACTGTAAGTGGCTTGAAGTGTTTAGAAAATAGTTTTGCTGCCTGAAGTCCTGTTATTTAGCTAAAAGGCGCAAGAGAGATCTGTGGTGCAAAATCGGAGGCGTCAGGATGTAGGAAGCCAGCTCTTTTGCTGCCGTAAGTTGGGAGCGGTTGGTTAAAGCCAATAAAGCTGTGCAGACTTGCAGCAGATGAGGAACTGACCCAGAGGTGTTTTCGTCTTTCTATTAGAAAAGACTACGTGACCTAAGAGTACAAAAACTTTTTTTCTCTCCTGCCCTGCCCTCCCTTCCTCTCCATCAACTGTTCAGAATAGCAGAACTGAACTCAGAGCTGTCTCAGTGCCAAATTTTAGGGCGTCAATATAGTGGAAATCAATATGAAGGCTAAAATGTGTTTGTTTTCTAAAGATTACTTTTTAAACAAATATGAGCGAGTTGGGATTATTCGCTATTTCCATTATTTTAGTGGGTTTCTGAAAACTTCCTTGCTTTGTCTAAGCGGAAGGTGTCTTTTCTTGGAGCTGTGGCTTATGTCCACCTTTTTTACTCCAGTCAGGGACAAAACAAGCCAAGTGATGCTTATTTAATGCACAGAGAGATGCATATGTCAGCTCTTTTGGTGACTGCATACATACAGTTTAAATATTTTGTGTAGAAATGCGGGGATCCCCTTTTGTACAAAGGTTATTGTCGTAGGAAAGTACCCATAAGCAGCTTTTTAATGCTCTGATACTGTATGGTACGGTATGGTATGATTTCTGTCTATCCCAGCTGTCACCCTTGCATCTGATGTAATCAAGGGACACCTACCTGACATTTGAGGAAATGAATCAGAGCCTACATTTATAACTGGAACATACAACTTTGTAACATTTGTAGCTGGAAATACTGTATCTTGAAGGACTGTCAGTGTGTTAAAACTGTAAATCACTCCTAAAGGACCTAGAACGTCAAAGTTTATTTTACATTAGTAGGCAATGTTTTTGTCATTTTGGAGCTCAAGGCTGCTGTCAGCTGTTAATTAATTGAGGGGGGATCAGTATTTCTCCACCGAAATAACTTGGTTACTTCTGAAGTTCCTCTGAAAAGATACTAAAAAGAAGAAATTTAATGTGAAGACACCGTTTTTTCAGAGTTGTGTTCACTGTTGCAGTGATACTTCAGCTGAGAACTTGCTTTGCTGCTCTTTTTCTGCAGGTGGGATCGCCACGTGAAGGTACATTTGTAGGGAGCTGAAGGACTTCTGTGTCGTCATCTGTAAGTGTCTACCCTCAAAGTAACGTTTAAGTGTGTCTGTAAACTAGAACTGGCCTTTTTCATGTCTCTGTAGTAATTATTCCTCAAAATTTTGTACTGCAGCTTTTTTGTAAGTTTTCAACGCAAATTCTTAAAAATTGCCCAGTCAATGAGTACGGGAGCCTGAATGGAAGTTCTGTTATTGCTTACTCAATAACACCACTGCTTTCATAAAACAGTCATTTTTTTCCTTTCACTGAAAAGTTGAAGAACTCCGTCTCCTCTGGGTTGTAAGCCAAACAGGCAGTGAGACGCGTTTATTTTTCTGCTTTGCCTCTTGGGGTCTCCAGGCAGAACTGTTACTGCAGCAGTCTTAATGCTTAAGCTGTAGTGTGAAGATGGTCCTTGAGAGAGTATTTCATGAAGAAAACAGGGTAAGATCTTATCTGTTTCTGTCTTACAGGGTAAAGGAAATAGAATTGTTGAGAATCACGCGTCTGGTTAGTGACAGAGCCAGGAACAGAACATGGGTGTTGTGATCGTCACTTTGGCAGCTTGCTCCCTGTAGAGAGGGAGGGCAGGTTAGTTGTGTGCTTAGGGACTCACGTATCGTTGGAGTCACCCAAACTCCCAAGCAGTTTAGCCTGGAAACTTCTAAATTCTTTGCTAGGTGTTAGAGGCATCAGTCCCTACATTCACAAACTAGTCTTGAGAAGCTGTGAGGACAGTCAGTTATTTAAAGCCATAGGTGCATATGTGATGGATCTTGCCATGCAAAGGAGTAAGGTGGTACTTATGGGGTCCAGGAAGTGAGTGCCAGTTTGGGGAAGGGTGATGTGTGCAAACTGTGCAGGGAGCGGACACAGGCTATAGGAGATTTTTGTGTGCGTGTTTAATGCTGTCGTGTCTTGGCATATAAGCCAACACCTGTATACAGTTTTAAAACTCACTTCACTTACTAATACATACAAAGTGATTTCTGGATGCATTGCTCTTCTGCACATCACCTCGTTGACAGAGCAGAGTACTGAACTATTTCCAGAATGCCGGTCTTCCTTTTGGTCTGCCCCTCCCAGAGTTCTCTATCTGGTGACAAACACCTTACCAAACTGCAAGGTACTATGCTGAGATTACAACTAAGTAGAGGTTTTTTTTTTTTTTTTGGACCTTGAACTAATATTTTTACACTAGTGATTTTTTTAAAATCCTGAATTGTTTATTGGGATTGTTTTATATTTGTAGCTTTTCTTGTCCTTCAAGCTTCACTCAGGATATCTGAGGGCTTAACAGCTGGTGGCCATGTGGTTCTCTCATTGAACTGTGGCAGGTATTAATGCCTGAGGTTTTCCCAAAGCCTATTTAACACTCAGAAAATTAAATGTTCCCCCTTTCTGTAATACAGTGCTGATGTATGCTTTGTGAACTGTTCTGCGTTACACGGCAGAGGTAGAAGTACCAAATGGTAACTATGTTTCATTGCCTGTATGCTGTGTTGCATATATTTCTTGAAGGAAGATTGAAATAAGCCTCTGTTTGAACACGTACTGCTCCGTACAGCTCACTTGTAATAGCAAACAGTGGTCAGTCACATTTCTAATGCTCTGTTCTGTTTGGTTTTTTGTTTACACAGGTTCTGCCTGTACATCTGCACTCATCTGACAAGATGGTATTTCGGAAACCACCAGATGGTGGCTGGGGCTGGGTGATCGTTGTCGTTTCCTTCTTTACTCAGTTCTTGTGTTACGGATCACCGCTGGCGGTGGGAGTCTTGTATTTAGAATGGCTGGATGCTTTTGGAGAAGGGAAAGGCAAGACCGCTTGGGTTGGATCACTAGCAAATGGAATCGGATTGCTTGCCAGTAAGTGTAGATGCAGTATCTATCTTAAATTGAAATGTTTCCTTCTAATATATGCTTTCATCTGCGTGCTTTTGGAATTAACAACAACTGCAAATGATAGAATGGGGATGCTGCATTTTTGTTTTAGGTCAAGATGGGTAAGAAGATTACATTTGTAGTTCCACTGTATGTAAACCAAAACAATATAATGGTAAAAGAGCAATAAAAATATTACCCTTAGAAAATTAAAAGTTATTGTATTTGAATAAACTAGAAAAACCAAACTCTGGGAAACTGAATGATAATTTTGTTGATGGGATTTTTTAAATTTTTTTTTAATGAGGTTTTAAGACCAACATTTGCATTAGTATCTTTAAAATCAGAACAAACTGTTAGTCTGAAATGGTTCAAGTGCTCTAAGAAAAACCAGAAGTCAGATAATAAACCAGTTACTCATTTTTCAGCTCTGGAAGTAAACCCACCAGTTAGAGTGGGTGAGGGCTCTTTTTCCACTGTTTGAGAAAAAAAAAACCCTTTGAAGCCTGGAAAGTTATGGATAACAGTGGCATTAAATAGAACAACTTTACTGGAAGCTTTTCTTTAGTAAGACATTGTCACCTGGAGAGTAACGGCAGGGTTTTAGGGGAATAAAAAGCCACTTTGGAAGTCCTTATGTCCATTTTTTTGTTGTTGTTTTAATATCAGGGATGGGTGTTGCACTGGGTAGTATCACTAACTTCTGCTTTTCAAAGATTTACTGTGGGAACTATTATCTTTTTGCTGAATCCGGAAAAAATTGCCTGTCAGCAGAGAAATTGCTACGGGCAAAACCAATTAGGTAACTTAATGGAGAAAATGCAGCTTGGGATTCTGAGGAAATTCTTAAAAGAAAGTTGACATTCAAATAGTGATACAGACCTGAATAAAGACCACTGCTTTGTATGATGCTACAACTTGCCAAATGCCGGTGTCACACTTGTGTTAGGGTTTTATATCACTAGGCAGAATAGAAATGGGCAAAGGCAGGTGTATCATTAACCACAGGAAGACTATATTCATTCCCAAGGTACAAGTGGGCAAAGGACTGTAGACTGCTCTTCCATCATACTATTTTATTTTCCTGTTTGAAGGGTGTTAACTCCTATTATTAACGAATCAAGACTTAAATAAACTCGAGTGAGAGAATGAAGTGTGTGTGCGTGAAGGCTAAACAAGATAGTTACTGATAAAAAACTAGGCAGAAGGGGATTGCAAGAGAAGGGGTGAAGAAAAACCCTCTCCCTGGAGACCAGAAGTCTCTGGCTCACTCCTGACAAGAGCTTGGGCCGTGTTTCTCGTATGTCAACACTGTACTAGTTTCCAGACTTCTTAGTGTCCTCTGTCTTGCCACTATGAGCAATTGCCAGTAGCGTGCTTTATAGCAAATAGAAACTTCTGTGACTGAGTAATACAAATAAAAGGTACTATTGCAATTGATTTGGGTATGGAATGATTAAATTACTTGAAATTTTGATAGATTAGGAGGAATGTTGTCTGTCAGTGTACTTTTATTCTTTCAGTTTGGGATTTGGAAGCTTACTAATCATTCCTATTTTTAATGCCTTCAAAGAAAAGTAGAGTGAGGGCCTTTTAATTGCATTGATTTCATTGCATTAAATTCCCACTACATTTCATTTTATTGACTTGCCACTTAATTGCATTGTTTTCGGTCTCTCAAACTCAGAGTTGACTGAAAACAAAATATATGTTCCCTGCTTTAGCTGACATGGAAGATCCCACTATCTTATCAAGCTGGGATCTGACCTTCATGGTAAGTTTACTTAAAGTAAACTTGTTGGAGGGACACTGTAAGTATCATAAGCTCTACCTAAAAGTAGAATGCTCTTGACAAGTTACAATTTTTCATGCAGTTTTCATAGCAGGCCTTTTTCAGACCCAGTCACTAGTGTAAAGAACATATGTGTTTCCAGTGCAAAACCATTGATATAACATATTGTAAAGTTAGGCCCTTTTCATGAATATAGGG